AAAAAAAATTCTAGTTAAGATAGATTATTTCACAGAGTGGGTAGAGGCCTTTCCATTGGTTAAGGTGGATCAAGAAACGGTGACTAGTTTCATTCAAAAACACATCATTTATAGGTTTGTGATTCCTGAAACTATCACAACGAATCAATGATCCATTTTCATTGGTCGAAAGATGCAAGAGTTTGCATTTGAAATGGGATTTAAATTGATAACTTCCACGCCTTATTACACTCAATAAAATGGTCAATTCGAAGCCGCCAATAAAGTGATAATTGGTTTGATTAAGAAACATGTTTCCAAAAAACCTAAGAATTGGCATAAAACATTATACCAAATATTATGGGCTTGTCGAACATCCCCTAAGTAGGCGATAAATTCAATGCATTTTCGTTTGAGGATTGGTCACAATGATGTGTTTCCAGTCGAGATCTATTTACAATCAGTAAGGATACATAGTCAAAATGAAATTTCGTCGGAACAATATTGGAACATGATGTTCGATGAAACAGTGAACTTAGATGAGGAAAGATCAGTTGCATTAGATGTTTTGATGCGACAAAAAGAGCGGTTTGCCAAAGCTCATAATAAAAAGGTTATGGTAAAAACATTCATTGTAGGTGATTATGTGTGAAAAGTGATCATACCTATGGATCAACAAGATATAACCTTAGGAAAATGGTCACCGAACTGGGAATGACCATTCTAAGTTATTCAGACATTTACAAATAATGCTTATGAAGTCAAATAATTGGGATTTGATTGAAAAATCTTAAAAGTGAATGGGAAATATTTAAATAAAATATAACATAAGCTTCAAGAGGTTCGAATTTTCCATGGAATAAAAGCATATTATATATGTAAATAGCCAAAATGGAACAAAAACAAAATGGCGTTCATAAACATTCAAAAAGAACTACACAAAACGCAAAAAGGAAAATTAGCCTTAACAAGATAATCTTGCAGCAATAAAGGAAATTAAGCAGGAAATCTCGACTTGAAATCCTCAAAAAGAGTCTTTTCATAGTCAATCTTGCTGTCGAGACAGGTTTTATTTCTTTCAAATGTGTAATCCTCTCCTTAATTTTGAGGGCTTTTTCACCATGAGCAATCCCTTTGAGAATCTCTTGATTAAATTCATCTTGCATTGGGAGGTTAGTGGTTGAATCCAACGGGGTTTTCTATTGCTCAATTTCTACAATCTTTTTGTTGAGTTCGAGTATTTGAGCCTGATAAGTTGCAATCTGTTGATCAAAATCAATGCGTTTCTCGAGACGTTCTTGATTCTTAGCTTCAAAATCATTCATTTTTTTCTCTCGCAAGCTTCACTAAAGTCATATTCCAATTTCATTTCATTCAACTTTGTTTTGGTCTGGAAATAAACATGCTTGCGAAGAGTAAGATCTTTGACAATCTGATTAAAGAAAGGTTCGAATTCAATCAGATATTGAGCTAAAGAGTTAGGAATATTTTGTTGGGATATTTCGTCGAGAAATTTGAAAACATTAGCCCCCAACACAACATCATCTTCAACAACAGCAAGAAATTCACCTTCAAACAAGTATGTTCTAAGTTGCTGCAATTTCTGAGTGATAAAATCATCCAGTTCAGAGTCAAGGGTGACAGACAAACCGAAAGATTGAGAATCAGAAGAAGCTTGTCGAAGTTTATGAAGCCTTCGCATGGTTTCAGTTGGAATCTCTTGTTTCATAGCTATAATCTCTTGTTTCATAGCTATAATATCTTCTTGGCTAAGGGAACTATTGGAATTAGTGTCTTGCAGAATATGAAGGGAATCGTCATTGCCACCAAAGGGAACTTGTTGATCTAATTTTTCTTCAAAAGAATCTTGTCGATGCAAGTTCTCTTCAGTAAAGGTTGTTTGATTCAAGCCTTCTTCAACAAGAGTCTTGTTAGGGGAAACAGGTTGGAATTATTTAGTAGCATCATCATTAGCATCAGGTTGAGGGTGGTCTTCAGTCAAAAAACCTGGAAAATCATCATCCCTTTGAGGGCTTAACTCAATTGTCACCTCAGCCACATTTTTGGCTTTGATGACGGGTTCGTGTGTATCATCAAAATGGTTTAGTTCGACAACCTTCATCAGGGTGGTTCTTGGAAACAAATTAAAGATTAGTCTAAAAGACTAATTTACGAAGTTAAGAAATGGGGGACATGGAATACCTCAGGAATCGATTCTGCAAAGTCTTTTTCTTTTTGAGTCGAAAGTGGTGGATTTGATTGACGCAAAGGAGAAGTTGGAATAGGATCAACGTGATCTGTGGATTTTGTAATCGAAGTGAAGTTCTCTATGTTGGAAATTATGGTGGATTTCCAGATTGATGAAACATTTGGCTATTTGCAATGACCCTGGGCAAAAAAAAAGTAAGAGACCCATAGAGTTAAGAAAGTGACATGTTCCACATCAGAGACCTCATTAGTTTTCTTGACATGGTGGTCGACTATGTAATGTTTAAGGCTTGGTCGGTCGAAATCAAACTTAAGCTCAGTCGACAGAGTTGGGTCGAACATTTCACCCAAAGGCGAAAGACCAGTAATGGCAGCCACGTTGAATAAAGTGGGTGTCAACATCCTGCAAGAAAGTTGGAAGGTATTGGTCGAACCTTCCCAAAATAAAATCGATGCGAGAATCATACTTGGATTGATTTATTGAGAACGCCTCGATAGTTGAATGGCGTTGAAAATACTTGTTTGCTCGCATTGTGTTTTTTCGTTTTGCTTGCACCTTGTTGAGCTAAGCCAAATAGTCTTTGTTTTTAGGAGTAGGCATGGATCGAAAAACTATAGCAGTGAAGTCCATGAATTTTAAGCCGAGGGGTTTTTTCTCTGAAAAGCAGAGGGCATAAAAGGAGTGAAACAAGGGAAGTATTATTGGACCTTTTTTGGATGTGTTTTTGCGTCTGGATACGGACCATGGAAAGCGAAAAGTTTTTCAGCAACAACGAATGGTATAAGCATTTAGTTTTGCCATCTTTCCACCTTAGTTTCTTCAATAGATGGGGGTTGAGGAATGTCTTTTAAACCTTCTTCTTCTGTAAGTACGAAGTCCACGAGGTGGTTTCCAGTATTCACTTTGGTTAAAGATGAAGATTCTATTATAGTAAGGAAAAAGGGAGCGAGAGAGATGAAAAGGGTTTATTGTTTCTTTTTCTGAAATCTGTTAAAAATGAAAATGGAGAAGGTAGAAGAAGAAGACTCTCAAAGCAGTGGAAGGTTATTTGTAGATGAAGTAAAAGCCACTAATGTTGAACAAGTGGCAGTTAAGGGAAATAGTGTGATTGTTCCATTTCCATTTGAAGTGAGAAAGTTTGTCGGAGTGGTTGAAAATCCACGACCTAGGGAGTAGGAGCAGTCATGAGAAGTGATGGAGTGTCTTTGGAAATTTTAGTGCAGAAAGTAGCTATCATTGTAAGTGATGTCAGCAAAGCATATGAGGTGTCGAAAATTAAAAGAAGAAAAAGCGTCAAGTTTCTCAATCGAAGGTAATCTCAGTCAAAATTGGCCTTTTTGGGGGACAATTTGTTAGCTAAGAATTTCCGACTAAGACTTAAAGAGAATGCTCGTCGAAATTGGAGAGCGAGATAAGCCATAGAATCGGAAAGTGAGATGTCGAAGATGGTTAATGCGAGACACATACAAGATGGCTAGTATGAAGCACCATAAAGACTATATGAACACTTAGTCAAATTTTGTACTAAAAATGTTGAAATTGTAGTCGAAGAGACAGACAGTTAGAAATGACAGTTTTCTATGAGCAGTTGTCAAATACGTGTGGGAAGTTGTCAAAAGCAGTTTGACATTAAACTGATACGTGGTAAGTTATGAGTAGTCGAGTGTTAAATAACCGTTATCTTTATTTGTCAATTTAAGCCAAATTTATATTTAGTTTTAGAGGTCATATTTATAACATTGTAAGGAGAATACTCAAAATACTAGCCTATGAGAGACACAAGTGACTTTAAAGAAATGTATGCATGTGTCTCATTTTAAGTTCAAAGCAATTTATCTTTCAAATTTAACATTACATTTTCTTTTTTAAATTGTTTTTACTTTGATTTGTTTTATTTTGCACATTCTTAACCTTTATTCACTTTTAAATTCAATTCACACATAATTATTAAAAAGCTTAACACTATGTTCTAGGATTTTATAGTCAATTTTACAAATAAAATTTAATTAAGAGATTAAAGCTTGTTTACCAAAAATTTGTGCAAACAGAAATATCTCTGATGATCCATTGAGATCTGAGGGAATGACTAAAGATCCTCAAATATCAAAATGCAGTGATCGAATCAATTTGAAGCAATGCAATGATTTGCATTGCTTGAGAATTTTCTTTGTTTGCCTAAATGACAATGTCACATGTGCCACTATTATCAAAGACAAAAAAACTAATACATAAATGATATGTTTACACTGAGTTTTACATTTACACCATAGTCAAGACAAAGTAAAGCTAATATGTTACTTTCCAAAATAAATGTTTCTTTAAGTTAAAAAAAAAATGTTGTTTTATATTTCTAATGTAATATTAATTGATTTTTACTAATTTTACATCAAATTAATTATGTCTGCAGGCATTACATTTCACTTTGTTTTTATAACAATATAAAAGTAACCAATAATCATTAAATAAATTTTATAAATGTATTATATTTATTCTTTCATTTATTATTTTTTTTAATCTGTGTATCAGAAATTTAAATGACTTTTATTTTAGGACAATTCAATGTCAATATAGCATTCCTGAAAATGATATATATGAGCCATTTGTTTGATTCTCTTATGAAATATTTGACCTAGTCTAAAATGGCAAATTGCTGCATATTGTTTAATATAAATTAAATTAGTATATCACTCATTTTAAAATTTTCATAGGAGTGAAAGGTATATGTGTGGTGGTGCCTAATAGATTGCCCTAACTTATATCTATAAAAGCTAAGCATGCGACTAGGATTGTAATCAAAAACCCTCTTCTTTGCATGGCTTTCAAAATGTCTCATTTTTTCTTAGTTTCCATTGCTGTTGTCCTCTTCTTGTTTTTCTTTCTGCAGAATAGTTTTGCCATTGAAACAACATGGGAGGAGAGACACCATCATCTTGTTCAAACCAGCTCTCTCTTACCATCATCTTCTTGTAGTTCATCTACCCAAGGTCAAGATTAGTTATTGTTGTACTTGGAGTGTTTTTACATGCAAGCTAGAAATTAACTTACATTAATTTATTGTTAATCTCCACCAAATAAATTGAGTTATAGATTAGTTATAAAATAGATGCATATATTAAATGGCAACTTAATTGGAAAATTGTTCCTAATTAACTAATTTATAGTACATGTAAACTCTCCTGCTTTTTCTATAAACAAGATTATTTTTAATAATGGAGGTATAGGATACTCCAACCCTCTTATAAATAACAAAAATATCAAAGTGATTCAAGAGACATAAAAAATTGATACAACAACAATAAAATCTTATCTAATTAAGTGGAGTCGGCTATTCCGCCTGATATTGTTATATTTAAAATTATGTTTGTATCTAAGTCATTAATTTTAAATTTTTTTAAATAATTTTACTTATAATTTTTTAAGTCTTCTTCTCTCTTTAGTTGTTTAATTCCTATCTCATTGATCCAATCTTTTTATTATATAATTTATAAATCTTGTTTATTTACATGTTTAAATCGTCTAAGTATATTTTTATCATTTTTATACCTTAAAATTTATCTGAAGCCTCTAATGCACAAGTCTCCCCGAGTCGAAAATTGATTTAATTTCTTACCAATTGAGTCAAATTTTATGGTGTTCCCCCTTTAATTGAATAGTCCTCAATCTCTATGAAAAAATAATTTTAGTGAATAGTATTGGACCTAAGTTATAAATGAAATATTTTTAATGAAAATTAACTTACAATTTTATTATTTGGTATTAGTTATATGTACTTAACTAATAATAGAAAACAATTATTGGTGGGTGGGTATAAATAAGTCTCAGTTAATATAACTATATAACAAACACAAGATAAGATTTTGTCTTTGAGTCTGCCATAGATAATATCTCAAGATTCCTTAGTTAAATCATTCTCATCCTTATATAATTAATGGTTCTCATCCTTAGTTTACTCTTTTTTGAATTTCAGGTTCCAAAAGAAAATCAACATTAGATGTGGTGCACAAACATGGCCCATGTTCCCAACTGAATAATAATGGAAAAGCTAATTCTGTTGAAACACACAGCGATATTCTAAATAATGACAAAGAAAGGATAAAATATATTCAGTCAAAGCTATTATCATCATCCAATAATAACAATAACAATAAAATGAAGGAAATAGAATTGGATTCTTCTTCGGCTAATTTACCAGCTAAATCTGCCTTACCTTTTGGATACGGGAATTATTATGTAGTAGTTGGACTTGGTACTCCAAAAAGAAATTTGTCACTTGCTTTTGACACTGGTAGTGATCTCACTTGGACACAATGTCAACCTTGTGCTGGTTCTTGTTATAAGCAAATAGATGAAATATTTGATCCTTCAAAGTCTACTTCTTATAACAATATCACATGTACTTCTCCAGATTGTACTCAGCTCTTGTCAGCTACAGGTACTTTTTATGATCACTATATTAATCAATTTTTTTTTTTAAATTTAATTTGATTTTATGAAATATTTTATCAAAAATTAATTAGAATTTGCATGGCAACTATATGAAAATGAGTTTAATTCGAAAAACTATATTATTACAGAAATCAATCCTGGTTGTTCTAGGTCAACAAAAGCATGCATATATGGGATCCGATATGGCGACGGATCTTTCTCGGTCGGATACTTCAGCAGCGAACAACTCACTGTTACGCCAACGGACACCATCGAAAACTTCTTATTCGGCTGTGGTCAAGACAACGAAGGCTTATTTATCGGAGTTGCCGGTCTCTTAGGCCTTGGTCGTCACCCAATCTCTTTTGTCCAACAAACCTCTCAAAAATACGATAAAACTTTTTCTTATTGTCTTCCATCTACTTCTAGCGGGGTTGGGTACCTCACATTCGGTAGCACAAATAATAATGATGTAAGTTACACTTCATCCCCCACTGCTTCTCATGGCCATTCCTTCTACTACATTGACATTCTTGGAATCACCCTCAATGGAACCCAACTTCCTATCTCATCCTCTCTTTTCTCCTCTGCTGGCGCCATCATCGACTCTGGCACTGTCATTACACGCTTGCCACCAACCGTTTATGCCACCCTCCGTGATTCCTTCCAGAAAGGCATGTCCAAATATCCTCGTGCGGAGCCTTTTTCACTTTTTGACACATGCTATGATCTTAGTGGGGTCGAGGATTTGTCCATTCCACAGATTAATTTTGTCTTAGCTGGTGGTGTCACGGTGGAGCTCGTTGTTCCGGGGATACTTTATACCATAAGTTCGAAGCAAGTCTGTTTAGCATTTGCTGCAAATCGTGCTGATACTGATCTCACTGTGTTTGGGAATGTGCAACAAAAAACACTAGAGGTTGTTTATGATGTTGGTGGTGGTAGGATTGGGTTTGGTTCAAATGGTTGCAACTGAAATTTGTTTTGAATATTTTGATCAATGTATTATTCTTATTAATGTTATTGGGTTTACTAAATAATTACGTGGAGGTTGGAATAAAAAGATAAAGTAAGGGGAAGAAATGCGGTTGAAAAAGACTTTGTTGGAATTGTGTAACATATATAGATTCAAGGGTATATTCATGTGTAAGCTTGTTTCCCATATTAATGGTTTGTTAAATAAAACAAGAACTTCTTGTGGTAAATTATGATTTTTGTTATTTTATTTGGTCTCATTGTGATTGTTAATTTACTTATTTATAAAATTAATTATTAACTAATATCGTAAACCATAACTTTGATTTTTGAAAGTTTATTTCCCTATTAATCCACTTATAATAAAAAAAATAAAAATCAATCTCACTCGTTAATCATTTTTTTTCTAATTCTTAACATTAATAATTGTTGATGTTATAAGTTTCAAGTCGTAAGTTTAGAGTTTTTTAATGTTTGTTTTAAGGTGGACCGAGAATGGTGTGATTTAGAGAATATGCAATGTTAGAACTCTAACATTTAAATCAGTGAAATTTAATTTAAGAGTGAGAGTTATATCGTACTTGTAATCAACGTGCAATAGAGTTTATTTATGTTAGAGTAGGTACGTGTCAAAGTGGATAGAGAGGTGCCGAAAATAAAGATATAGGTTTAAGTAGTTTTTGATGTGAAGAACATATCACAAATTTGAATACGTATCAGACTGTTGTTACATGATTTATATATCGCAATTTTAATTCTTTTAATAAAAAACATATTTTTATACAATGTTTTATAAAATATAATTAATAATTATATTTTAAATAATAATTAATAAAATACGAAAATTGTATTTTTATTTCAAATAATAATTATAAAATTATGATAATTTTAGGAAGATTTAATTAAAAATGATTAATAGAATACAAAAATTAATATTTAAAATTTAAACGTAAAAAAACAATAAAAGTATTCAACAAATATAAGAAAATCAATCATCGACATCAATTTATTTTGCCGCTTCTTCTTCTTCTCCGTCCTCCTTCATAATTGCTTCTTGGCCACCAAATATTCCAAATCTGCCATTTCACAAAATCTTTGATTTTCATCCATTGTACCATATGTTTGGATCCTTTGGGAAACACGAGTTCTCGCGTTTGCTCTTGCGAAACTCTTAATGCTTCCTCCAACTCAATTTGTCTCTTCCTCTTTTCCTCCATTTAGGCCTTTGACGTTGTGTCGCGCATCGCCGTCTTGTATCTCTCCTAAGTTAGAGCTAATTGTCTCACTGATTCCATCATTTTAGGTGTCAATTCTGGTGGATGTTACGATCCTTCTCCATATGGAATTCTCCTGAATAAATTTTTATCTCTTTTTCTGTAGTTGGAGGCCAAAGGTCCAAGACCATAAAAGTATACATTAGATATATTCCTGTCATTTACTAAACTTAAAATATCAAGGTTCACACTTGGATCAATTGGATTTGAGTCAGTCGGAATATACTCAGGGTGTTTAGATAGAAATTATGTGACACTAGTGCATAAAAAGGAATTTACATATGTTTTTATACATTTTACACCTGTTATTAGAGGGTGTAAATTAAAAAGGTGAGAAATGTGTGAGTGCGCTTGCCCATTAGATATTTTACATGATGTTAAAACTAGGATAACTTTAGCATTTCTGTATATTGAACGGAATCATTGAGTTTTTATGTGCACCCTTACATTAGGGATCTTATAATGCATTTAAAACATATTTTGAAAAGGTACAATACATTAAAAATGAGATTTTACATAAACACACACACACACACACACAAATATATATATATATATATATATATATATATATATATATATATATATATATATATATATATATATATATATATATATATATATATATATATATATATATATATATATATATATATATATATATATATATATATGTGTGTGTGTGTGTGTGTGTGTGTGTGTGTGTGTGTGTGTGTGTGTGTGTGTGTGTGTGTGTGTGTGTCGATACATACGATGTATTAGCTGACACATATAGATCAATAATGAAACTTGTAGCTTCTTAACTATGTGTTGACACATACAACCCTTCATGTCGACACATGCTGAAGATTTTTATCGATTTATCGACACATACATGCTTCAGGTAGACACATGTACTTCATTTTCAAAGCATGTATTACATGTGTCGACATATACTGTAGTTTTTTTAGAAAAATTGAATTTCTTTTCAATTTCTAAGCCTCCCTTTTTGCCTCCAACTTTCACACATATAAATACTTCATACATACATCATTTTCAACAAGAAAAAACAAAAACATACAAAGATTGCTCTTCATCTTCAACCTCTCATATATGCATACACACAAACAATCTATTCATAATCATTTTTTATTTATGTTCCATCTAGACTTGTGTAGATAACGACCAATTTAGGTTGTGTACCTGTAGATTGAGTTGGGAGTCTTTATGGGTTTCAAATAAGAAAACCAAGTCGGAGTTTCCTTCAAGATCATTGGGATTTGATGGTTTTGGACAAGATTACGCAATTTGGATTCGATCGAGTGAAAGCTTTAAAGAACGGGGTTCCTTACAAAGGAGTAGCATGAGACGGTGAATCAAATTAGTAAATCTTGGGATATGATATGTTCTCAATTTGGATTCGATCGAGTGAAAGCTTTGAAGAACGTGGGTTCTTGTAAAGGAGTAACGTGATACAATAGATCAAATTGGAAGTATCAGGTGACAAAAATTCGCAATTTGGATTCGAATGAGTGGAAGCCTTGAAGAATGATGGTTCACTCAAAGGAGTAGTGCGAGACAGTGGATCAAATTGGTTTGTTGGGTGACTTGATCAAGATGAGATCAAGGGAAGAGAAAGTTTTAGGATCAACATCAAACTTGGGGTTTGTAGGGTTCGATTGCTACATTTATCTTGTAAACAACATTTTAAAAATTAAGATTTATTTTCTTAATTCGATTTAGAATTGGGAGCATATGTAGCCATAGCGAAGATGATTGGTGAACTTCCTAAATAAATCCTTTTGCTCTCTCTCTCTATACATACATACATACATACATACATACATAAATACATACATACATACATACATACATACATACATACATACATACATACATACATACATACATACATACATACATACATACATACATACATACATACATACATATATGCACACATATATACATATATACATACATATGCACATACATACATGCACACATACATACATACATACATACACACATACACACATACACACATACACACATACATACATACATACATAATTTACTGTGTATAGGTAATTATTAAATTAATTGATTGTGTAATTATTATCGTCTAACAAAATGTCTAGCGAATTTACACCCGTTTAAAAATGGCTGTAAATAGAGAGTATATTACACCCTTTTCTAGTGTAAACGGATGTAAATTGCTACATATATACATTTAAATCAAAAGAATTTACACCCTCATTTGATAAAAATAGGGTGTAAAATGAATAAGGTTTTCTATGAATGTCAACAAATTTACACTCTATTTTAGTTATCATGGGTGTAAAATATTTGATAATTATATTATATTCAGTTTCATTTACAACTTATTCCATTCAACTACATATTTGTGTATACCGCTGGACATTAAGTAAACAAATACCTTATTACGTGTATAAACTATATTTTGCAGAGTAAGATTTATCATCCCAATTCTATTTAGAATTGGGGGCAAATTTAGCCACAACGAAGACGATTGGTGAACTGTCTAAGCAAAACTTTGTATTCTCTCTCTCTCTCTCTCTCTCTCTCTCTATATATATATATATATATATATATATATATATATATATATATATATATATATATATATATATATATATATATATATATATATATATATATATATATATATATATATATATATATATATATATATATATATATATATATATATATATATATATATATATATATATATATATATATATCCTTTATTTTGTATAGCTAATTGTTAAATTCATTAATTGTGTAATTGATTCGTATAGACATATCTTTTGTTTGTTAAACATTGCTTTGTTGATTACATTATAATCAATTAGATTGTAATTTGTATTTTATATGAACAAAGTCAAAGGAAAAGTCTGGAAAAAAATCGATTGCACGCGAAGTGTTTGATAATTTGCTTGTTTTAGCTTTATCAATAATTTCATTGGAAATTGGTCAACAATTGTAATCATTATAAAACGATTGATTGAAAAATTACTGTAATGAGTCTTATCATCATTTTAGATTTCATTATGTGGTTTACGCATATCTGAGTTTCCAATAGTTAGTTCAGTTTAGACGACTTGTTTGATCTAGGATTAATCTTTCACTTGTCATCGTCTAACAATTGGTATCATAAGCTTCGATTCATTATGTGTTTCCAAAATGATTATTAGATAATGACTATCAAACCTAAAGGGGTGTACAATGGAGCACCTGTATTCACAGGTGAAAATTATGGCTATTTGAAAGCTTATATGCGTATTCATATCTATTCATATGATAAGGGTGCACGGGATTCCATTATCAACGATCCCACTCAAATTACTGTGACCGATGCTAATTGTGTTGTCACACCTAAACCGGAAGCATCATGGAATGGTGATGATAAGAAAAAGTGGGGTCCCGATTGGAAAGCACAAAATATTATCATATCCACTCTTGGTGTTTAAGAATTTTATCGCAATTTTATCGCAATTTCCATTGCTAAGGCTACATGGGGCACATTGCAAGTTGCCCATAGGAAACTAATGAAGTCAAATAAGCTAGAATTAATACATTAAATCAAGAGTTCAAACTATTTCGCATGAAGCATGGTGAAACCAATTTCGAAATGCAAAAGAGGTTATCTTATCTTATTAATCGTTTAAATGCACTTGGGAAACCGGTTTCCAATGAAATTTCTACTAATAACTTTTTGAGG